CGTTAATCGTTTGCTTGGGACCAATAGGCTACTAAAGTGGTGAGCCAATTTAAAATCGTTAGTTTCGTATTGATTGTTGCTTTTAAGCAGTTTGGATAACAATTTGGCCAACGTATAAGATACTTACTTAACTTTTACTGGTCCGACGTCCCTCAAGATTTGACCTGTATAACAAGTTGCGCCAACTAACTCGGTCCCTGGCTGCTTGTCTCCAATTTTTCGAGCGTCCCACACTTCCTACATCTTGCTCCACTTGGTCTAACCACCTAGCACGCTGTGCTTTTCTGCGTCTTGTACCGGCCGGATTTGAGGAAAACACCATTTTTGCGGGATTGTTGTCCGGCATTCTTACAACGTGTCCCGCCCATTGTACCCTTCCACCTTTAGCGACTTTCTGGATATTGGGTTCGCCATAAAGTTACGCCAGTTCGTGGTTCATTCCTAAATAGAGCTGGAACTACACACTTAATCTTATATTTTTATCTCGGTAAAATATTTTGCTGAACTTCATCGGCAAAACACGATTTTTGCTGATTTCTCGTTAGAAAACATGTTTTTACTGAATATCGGTATATATAATTAACGAATTTTGGTTTTATGAAAGTTTTACTGAAGTTCGGTAATGTTGTTTTCCATGCTTCACCGACTTCGGTAATAAAAAGAGACGAACCTCGGCATTTGACAATAAGAGTAAGTTTCTGTCAGTTGCACACATTAATTGTCAGCCATTTTGTGCGAGACTAAGTCGTCAGTTGCGATGATTAAAGTGTTGCGTGTGATTAAATAAAGTGAAAAATGGAGGAAATATTGCGGAAAATCGATGGTGAAGGAGAAGCTATAAGCCAAAAACTGCGTCAACTATTCTGTAAGTACTAAATCTTAATTTAATTTTCGATTATACAGGTAAGAGGAAATCCCATGACCGAGGGAGAATGTTTTATTTCATGGAATAGTATCAATATACCGCTAGGTGGTAACATCGTCCATGCATTCAGCGTATTCTGCAAGACTTTTGACGTATTCGGAACTGCATGGGCACCGAGTGATAAACAGTTTTTTTTTATATTTTTCAGAGCAATTACTTTCTCTGTTGACAAAATTTCTACGACTGATGAAAAGTTTGTTAGATCACCCGAAGAGTGAGAAGGAATATGTCATTGCACGAATAACTTTAATAAAGACTTGTTTACATAATTCCCACTTATTTGGTTTTGTTATTATTATTATTACTATTCTGAATAATCCAATTAATTTGAGATGAAATTTCGACGAAAGTCGGCAAAAGCTAATTTTTTTTCCATGAATGGTTTGCCGAAGGATTGGTAAAAGATTTTTTCTTGTTTTGAGGTATTTCGGTAAAATAAAAGCTGAATGCTCGGCATACAAGTACCGATATTCTCGGTAAAATTTGACAGTTGAATAAAATGATAATTACCAAGCGTTCGGTATTCTATACTTTTACCGAAATTTTTAACGAAATTTCGGCTGTTGGATTCTCGGCAATTCATTTTGCCGGCCTCGGTGAAATAAACTAAGTGTGTAGGGCGTAACCGAGGGCGTAACAGCTTTTGTAATCAATGCCTTCTCTCGATGATTTCTCGGAAGTCATGGCTCCCCCAGGCGAATCGACATCACCATCGATTAGAGGAAGACTTCTACTACCTGATGGATATGTTGGTTTGTGTAGGCGTGCCTTGAATTCCGAGAAATCAACAAGAGAAGTCATTGTTTACAAAGGCTGTTACGCCCTAATTCCAGCTCTATCTAGATTCTTCTACTCCATACACCCTTTTCATATACCCTGCCAAAGATGGTCCTAAGCACGCGTCGTTCGAAAACTCCCAGTGCTCCTCGAGCATTGTCCATTGTCATATTTTTCATGCACAATAATTTTGTTTATTATATGTTTGCAGTTCGTTTGCAGCAATTTTTGGAGCGATCCGTGAAGGGGAAGGCTTGCCACTTATATATCCGAAAAGTGGACCAAACAAGCCAGCAACCACGTCCAAAGTGTCATGCATTATTGACAAATTGGCACAGCGGGTCGATTTAAAGGGAGATCTGGAGGCGCAGCGATCTTATTGTCTTGATTGTCTGGTAGTTCACTCAAAAATGCTATAACAATCGCCAAGCTCGCTGTAATGTCACCAAGTGCCTCGTCACCTACAAATTGGCGCCTATGTCAGTGGTCTAACAACTCTTAGCGCGCTAATGGCATAGTTCCCCTGCCGCATAGAGAGTTGCCGCAATGATATTAGGTTAGCTAAGGTCAGTTAACTGACTGGTGGGAAACGGGAGCTTCAGCATTGACTGTTATGTACGCATTTTTATGATGTTATCTAACAACAATGGTGTGTAGTGTTTACACGATCATGTTTCTAATTCTAATGTGTTGTAAATATAATTGAAAGCATTTGAAAAGTAAGATTCTAGTGTTTTGTATATCTAAAAACATTAGTAAACATCTACATTTGAAAACATTTAAACAACGTATACTTTTGTACATCTGAAAACATCAGAGAACAACAAACACGAAGTACAATTGAAAACATCCGAACAACGTTTAGTTCTAACGTTGTGTACATCCGAAAACATCCAAAAAACTTTTGGTTCTAGCATCGGGAGACATCTACGTTATAAAACATCAGAATACATTTACATATAAAAACATCCGAACAACGTTTAGTTCTAACGTATTTTACATCCGAAAACAACCGAAAAACGTTTGATTCTAACATCAGAAAACCTCTACATTAGAAAACATCAGAAAAAGTTTACATATAAAAACATCCGAAAAACGTTTAGTTCCAACGTTTTTTACATCTGAAAACATCCAAAAACGTTTGTTTCTAATGTCAATAGATTGAAATCTTTGACGTCAGACCGACATTAGAATGGCAAAATTTTGTTCCAAAATTTCTGATGTATACACCATGTTACCAACAATCAATACGAAACTAACGATTTTAAATTGGCTCACCACTTTAGTAGCCTATTAGCAACAATCAATACGAAAGTAACGATTTTAAATTGGCTCACCACTTTAGTAGCCTATTGGTCCCAAGCAAACGATTAACGTACCCTATTCTAGTCGAAATTCTAGTTCTACGCAATATTTGTTTTGATTCGCTATGAAAGTTTGACAGATAAAATGAGGGGTTATTGGTTTTTCCTATGTTTCGAGGGGTGAATCGGTTAGCTTGGGACCGAAGAGAGTACCAGAGCTGAGCCAAAAAGTTGAGCACGTTATTTCAGGACCTTCTTATCTTAGAGGTACCTCTATGATGTTACCAACAATCAATACGAAACTAACGATTTTAAATTGGCTCACCACTTTAGTAGCCTATTGGTCCCAAGCAAACGATTAACGTACCCTATTCTAGTTGAAATTCTATTACTACACTATGTAAGTTTGACAGATAACATCAGGGGTGTGTGGATTCATGCAGAACATGCAGGGGTGAGTGAAATAGCTTGGGACTGCTTGGGACCGTTGTTCTGGTACTGAGTGAGCCAAAAATAATAATGATTTTCTTCGGGACCCAGTGGTCTTAGAGTTACCTCTATGGTAGTACCAATTTAGAGACTAGTTTTTATTTTAATAACATATCTGATTGGCGTCTTGCAGTGAAACTTTTCGAAGTGAGAACTACTATAGAAGGAGGATAGTTTCCAAATTCTCCAAATAAAACAGACGATTTTTGGGGCAAATCGGTACATAAAGAAGAACTAATAATTTCCGGTGGAAACTTTTGCTTGAATCGTGTAAGAAAACGTGTTTGCAAACTAACTGTTGTTATACCGGTATGGATCGGAGATGTTTTCATGGAAAATTATGCATAAGAAGTTTGCACCTCCAGTTAGAGGTTACCTCCTGCGCAGCTGCATTTTTCAGAAAATGATGAATATGTGCGATTTCCACTAGGATGAAAGTGAAAATTAAGTGAATTTTCTTAGGAAAGATTGTATCATGCTGGTGATTATGGAGAAATGGTTGTATAGGACGGCAATTTTCAATAAATGTTCATTTTGGCCTTTTTTAGGTAAACATATTTATATTCACAATTTCCGACGGAAAACGCAACGGAACTTGATTTACTCAACACACACCATACACAGAAAAAAAAGTTGTTGAATATTACATTCAAACTGCTGCAACCAGGTCAATCCATCGGTTGTGTAATATCACATTGTACGATGTACATCGATTTTTCGAACAAAATTACATCCATTGATGTAATATTGTATCTGCTTTTTGCTATTACATCATTTTTTCATGCATCAGCTTGAATTACATTGATCGATATTACATTTTTTTTTGCTGTGTACTATAAAATGGTGCTCGATGGTTAATAAAGTGATAACAAGATGACAAATCATCTTTATTTTGAGTAATTGAGCAATTTACTTCTGTTTACATCATATGTACGATGCAGCATTGATGGAGCTGTGAAATGAAATGAATATATCTTATGAAATCGAGTATGAAATTTCATCTGGAAAAGTCAAAGATGCACATCAGTCTGGTCGTGAAAACGTTTTCTTCTTCAATTCGAATGTTATATTGGATGGTTTTTACGCAGGCTTGATGAAAATTATGATTTAATGCTAATTTTCACGAATTTCATATGCAGTATGTCAACATTATCATCATCATGCAGTGGCGACATCTGCGTCGAGCTTTTACGGCAATCTTCCAATGGGCATTAACATTTACGTTGGATTAATTTGATGATTTTGGCAACACAACTAAATTCACAAGGCTTGGTATTATGTATCGATAGGTCTGAGCCAGATGACAGCGAGAAAAAAAAACTATTTAAAAACCAGTTCAGTCACCCAAATTGGAACCAATTTTCAAATTGACCATTTCTCCCAGTGCAGCACAGGATTTTGACACCTCACTCGTGCGGGCTCACTTCACTCACCTTCAATCGGCTCGACTCGGCATCAGAAAAACAAACCTTTCGTTCCTAATCAAATCACCCGAATCGCCGTAATCTGTCAGTCAGTCGTAATCATCGTTTTTATTCGCGAGTATTCTAATGCGCTTTGTTTTCCGGAAACGTGTGTGATAGTTTTATTCGATTTTCCTCCTACCATACCACAAAGAAGAGAAATATTCTCACCGAGTAGACTTTCCCGGAGCGATTCCACTCCCGAGAAGGCGCGTGTCCCGCATCGATACCGTTATGACCAGCTAGTAGTTCCGATCCCGAAATTTCTGCTATCGCCCTCTCTCTCTCTCTCTACCTCTGTCGAATATCTTGTGGCTGAAGACGGAAAACGCTATGGAAAATCTCAACTTCCCACCGGTGGAGTTCTGCCGTCCCGACGGCACTGAAACCAACGGAATCGTCCTCCAGGAGTTTGCGATAGTGCTTCGGAACATCCACCACTTTGAGCAGATTCCCACGGGTAAGTGGCTATCGTTGCTGCAGGAAAAGTCCCTCATCCGGCAGAAGCAGAACCGAAGGGAGGCGGATCGGTTGCACAACCTGGCGGCCCAGCTGGCCGAGAATGATGAGTTGGACAAGGCGATGATTCACATTACGCAGGCACTGTACCGCTGCCCGGCGGATGATACCCTGGCGAAGGCGATCCTGTGTCAGAAGGGGGAACTGCTGAGGCGCCAGGAACGGATACAGGATGCAATACGGCACTTGGAGATGTGCTTGAAGATCGAAGGTGAGAGGTTCTCGTTCGGGACGTACCTGTGTCTGCTGCGGTGCCACAAAGCGACCGGTAATGCGCGGAAGGTCCGGACGACGTTGGAGCGGTGTTCGGCGTTCCTGAACCGATGGAAGGACGAATTTCAGCGGTACGATTCGCAGCTGAAGAATGAACCGAACAGGCACATGGAGGACATGAAGAAGGAATTCGGTGAGTAGGCTGGATGGGTGGGGTGTCACTTTTGGAGGAGTGGGTGACTCATTTTTGCTTTGGTTCTCATTCTAGACCTTCACGCGAACTGCATTCCGCAAGAGATGTACAACGATAAGTGTTTTAGGGTTGAACCTGCCGTGCAGGACGATTACGTCGAGGAGATTGATTTTGAGCCATTTATGGGGTTTACGACGGATAAGAAAATTTGCGGTGCTTCCAGTGCTTGTAGTTTGGATATGTGAGTTTGATGGTGGTGCTTCTATGGGAGTTGCTTGAAGTGTAATTTGATTCTCTGCTCTTACAGCGAAGACAAAGCTCGTGAACTGGTGGCCAATACGGACATTCCGGAAGGTTCAATCGTACTAGTGGAACGGCCGCTAGCTTTCCATCTGGAGTTTTCCAAAGTACAATGCTACACCTGTCACGTCGTTCAGCCTCACGTTATTCCCTGCTTCCACTGCCAAGGAGTGTTCTACTGTTCCTATCAGTGCCAGCGGCGAGACGCTGGCTACCACCGGTACGAATGCCTCGGCCATCAGCTACTCTTCTTTCCTCTAGTCAACGGTAATCTGGAAATGCGGATGCTGATCCGTACCCTCAATACTCTGAAACGAGTAATGGCTGTGAAATCGTCCTCCAACTACGAAGGTCCCCGGACGGCGAATGAATTGTTCGAAGTGCTCCTGGAAGGTCGGGAAGCGTTTGCGGATCTGTTCAATGCTCTGCTCGTTGAGCTGGACTACGACAGCTTTCGGCCGGAGGATTTCGACGCGCTCATGATCAAAACCGAAAAATTGCTCAGTTATATTAAGTTTGATCGGAAGATCAAGTCACTATTCTTCGCCCAGTGGAAGCAATTTGACGACCGCCAGTTCGACATCTTCGTGGGAGGCTTACTGTTACACTTTTGCACCTTAACGATGACCAAAGTACACCGACTGTCGTTCGACATTCCGGCGACGGAGGAATTTGTCGGAAGAATCGAGGATTTTGTTACGATCGGAGATGACGAGCGGAAGGAACCGCTCAAGAAAATCATCCTGGACGCTTTGGAGCGGTACGGTAATGAGGCTTCCAGTATTCTGCGAGCATCGATGAACACCGACATGCTACGAGAAGGCGTCCTCCAACATCTGGAAGTTCTTCGGGGCGAATTTGAAGACAGCAAAAATTCCAATGAAGAACCAGCGTCCGACGACGACGACTCTGCCACCCGGTTGTGGACCCGTTCGAACGTCAAACGGCTATGGCAATCGTGTCTGGATGGGGCGGGAATGAACGCCGTGCAACGGACCACTTTCCTCAATCACCAACGGGAACGAGCCGAAGATGTGGTGGACAAAGCACTGCTCCGCTTCTTCGACAGCTACTTCGACTATTTCGGCGAGATTCCAATGTGCAGCAAGAGTCGATCCTTTCCGAACACACTGCGAACGTTCTACTCGACGGCGATGAAGTTTAAGCACTCCTGCCAACCGAATCTGTTCTTTGCGTGAGTTGAAGTTGGTTCTAATGGTTGCTTGAAGGTGACGAATTTCCTTCATATTTGTTTTAGCATGATTTCCAACGGTTTGTTCGTGGTCCGTGCCCGTTTCAATATTAGCAAAGGTGAAAAGCTCACCTTGAATCACGGTCCGCATTACAAGAATGCCTCGCGGGAAAAACGTCGGGACTATCTGCGGAAAATCTACATCAACTGTGATTGCCTCGAGTGCGGTCAGATCGAAGATCACTGGGTTCGTATGCTCGCATTTCGCAGTTTTGCAGTTTATAATAATCGAAATTTACCACATTCAGACCCGCTACCAGCGCGTCAAGTGCGAGGAATGTCTGTTCAATGCGGAAGCGCCGCACACCTGTCCACAGTGCCTGCAGATCAGGGAACAGTCCGGGGTGATGGAACTGCTCATCCAGCAGCTGCAGAGCATCGAAGCGAATCTATGGCAAAGTCACCTGCCACAGTTGATCCCCCTGTCGGCGCTGGGCCGAACGGCCGGAGGTCTACAAACGGCAACGGCTTCCGGCAAGCGTAAGGTCGAGTTGCTCATGTTCTTCGAACGGATATGGCTGATGGTGTTCGTGGATGCAACCAACGTTCCGCTGTACAGCAACCTGAAGGAGCAGCTTTCGTGCTTTGCAGACGAAGGTAGGTGATGGGATCTTTTTTTTTTTGTTATCGTTGGAGTTGAGCATTCCATAAGGTGTATTGCTCAAATGGTGGTAGAACATGAACAACCAAAAATATGCTTTTCCCTCTCTCCCCCGCAGTTATTATCGACTCCATCGACGGTGTGTACGTCCTGCTGCAGCGCTGCAAAGCCATCATCGACACCCTGTTCCCGGAGATGAGCGTTACCTTGGCCATCGAGTACGAGCTGATTGTGCGCCGGGTCGTCAAGTACATGCTCCCGGCCAAGTACGTCTTGTCCGTCCAATATCACAAGGTCAAACTTATCTATTGATGTTTCTCCAAAGCATTCATTTTTTCAGATTCCTCGGGCTGGACATGCGCCAGGTGCATCGGACGATCGATCTGTCCCGATCGATGATAAGGCACGCCTTCGTAATACTGGAGGGGCATTTTCTGTACGACGATGAGAGCTACCGGAAGCTCATGGTGGTGGAAGACCGACTGAGGACGCTCGAGAATAACATCCGGGCAACGGAAGCCCATGACGAGAGTGAGCTGTTCCTAACGTTGATAGGAGCGCTGAAACAGACCAAGGACCCCGGTGATGATAAGCAGAAGATGATGCGTTTGAAACGACCTTCCCGAGAGGCACCGAAGAAGCAATCGGACGAAACGCAACATATCGTCGATCTGAAGCACGCCAGCCAGCAAACGAAGAAAATCTCGCTGCCGAATGGCGGCGACAGTAGTTATGTTAGTCGAGACAGTGCCAAAACTGAATATATCAATAGTCCCACTGAAGGGGAAGTGAATGGCAGCGTTGGCGATGACTTGCAGCTCAAGACGGACAAGTCAACGAAACGCAAAGAAACCGGAGCCATCCCGAAACCCAGTCGCACAACCAAACACCATCGGAAGGTCTGAGGTGCCTTTCCGTTTCAAGTATCCGGACTACCGTGTAAATATTTGTAGGAGGAAGCAGCTTTGGGTGCTGGTCTTCGATCGAAAGGATATACGAATTCCTTCGATGACGGTTCATTTAGTTTGCCGTTACTTTATGCGCTCGAATTTTACAAAATTGTTTTGCGTACTGCAGTTTTACGCGTGATTATGATTAGCCAAGTCAAAGACAAACGGGATTCGCTAATCTACTGTAGTTGAATATTATGGAAAAGGACAAGAAGGGAGAATGATGTGTACAAATCGATCGAACCGCTTCTACGTATGTAGCCAGGAGAAGGGTATGTACATTTTAAAAATCAACGGTGGACCCAAATATGCGAGTAAGTACGAGCGAGTCGTCGACATAGTTTTAAGGGTTAATTTCGAAATGCTGTCAATGATTCGAACATCGCGCAGGTAGAATTCGATTGCTACCTAAGAAAAGCGAAAAGACATCAGGACATTTTCGGTTTTAAATTTAGTTGTATTATGATGCTTAATGAAGATATACTTAAACAGCCATACGCCAAACCAACGAATAGTTCTAGAGTAGCAAATAAATGACAACTTGTTTCTGTACTGTATATGTCTATTTAAACTACACACTAATTGTTTGCTTGACAAAAGCTTAAGTTTATGTTGATCTTTAATGTTCGGCTTTGACAGCTCTCCGCAGAATAGTTTCGAGTCGAATTTAATTCTAGTCAATTACCGTTGAAAGGATTTAATCGTTGGTTTAGCCTGTAATCATGTTAAAATATAATGTTTATCAAAACGAACAACTAGGTTAAAGGTTGCAAAACTGAACAGGTTTAGTTGCAAATGGGAAGCGGTGAAGTTCGAGTTGGAATAAGCGACGAAGAATGCACTTTTGAGATGCTTAGACCATCCACACCCGCAAAGCTATTTTAGCAACCGCACCGGAGGTTGCTATTTAAGTGCGGGAAATAACAATCTGCCTCTCGGTGACCACATTTGGCAGCGCGGTAGCAACCGACCCAAGCTAGCTATTTGTGAAATGTCATTTTGGTTTTGTTTAAAAATCACTTGCAATATAATAAGTTTCAATCTGGGACTTGTCCTCCGTAAAAGATCCGGACCTTCCGTAAAAGTTGTCAATGCGTAAAAAATATCCTAGGGACAATCCATAAATGACATAGCATATTCATGAGCAGCTTTAGACACCCCACTTACCCCTTCGTATCGTAATTTGCAGTACCTACATAATGCATGGCCGGCCTCAACTTTTGCAGACCCCCCTCTCCTAAAATGCTACGTTATTTATGGATTGTCTCCTAGAGTTCCCGGTTTATTTTAAATCACTTGTTCTGATGCTACATGTATGAATTAGGATCTCGGACTGGCCCGAAGTTTATATGGGAATTACTTCCTCACAATTCAACAAACAATTTGAGCTGAATAAGCTATTTTTAAGTATCCAATGAGACTTGATGATGGTCAGTTATTGCCTGATGTATATGTGATTTCCAGGGAGAGCAGTCGTTCGATTCCTTGCCGCAAGCAGGATGTCGTGATCTTCTACCAAAAACGCCGGTGGAATGAATTCTGATGTTGAAGAGTACCGCCTAGCTGTATCGGATCGTTGCTACGATATTATTGTCTTGTGCGAAACGTGGCTCGATTATCGAACGCTTTCCAGTCAAGTCTTCGGTCCGGACTACGAGGTCTTTCGTTGCGATCGGAATCCTAACAACAGCCGTAAATCTACTGGTGGAGGTGTCCTTGTAGCTGTCCGTAGCGGGTTGGAGGCAAAGGCCATCGAGAACGATTCATGGAACTATGTGGAGCAGGTTTGGACAGCCATCAATCTGGGTGATCGCACACTATTTCTATGCGCTCTGTACATTCCACCTGATCGAGTCCCGGTCAGTTTTCACAGTTATCGAAAGTGTCACTCCAGTTGATGAGATATTCATTTTTGGTGACTTCAATCTGCCAGGCGTTTCGTGGAGTCCATCTCATAGCGGATTCCTGTATCCAGATCCTGATAGCTCTACATTTCACGCAGGAGCTATTAGCCTTCTCGACAACTACAGCGCAGCGACGCTTTCTCAAATTAACCATGTAGTTAACGAAAATGGTCGTAGTTTGGACCTCTGCTTCGTGAGCACACAGGACAGGGCTCCATCAATTTCCTCGGCTCCTTGTGCACTAACTAAGCTAGTTTCACATCACCCTCCTCTGATTGTCACTGTTGAGGACAAACTCGTGCGTGATTTCGGCGACTATACTGCTACGGTTTCTTATGACTTCCGTAAAGCTGACCACCGTAGCATCATAGATATTGTCTAGCATGGTATGGGAGATCATCCTTGATCCAGATGACGTTGAGGCTGCAGCGTAAACCTTTTCACATGTCTTGGCATATGTCATTGACAGACACGTCCCGAAAAGAACTCACCACAAAGTGTCTCACCCTCCCTGGCAGACGAGAGAGCTACGTAGGTTGAAGTCAATCAGGAGAGCAGCCTTGAGAAGATTTACGAAGTATCGCACGCTTCCTCTGAAACTACATTATGTGAGGCTGAATCAAATGTACCAGCGAGTCAGTCGTGAATGCTTTTCAAGTTTCCAACGAGGCATCCAGCGCAAACATAAGCTACACCCGAAATCCTTTTGGAACTACGTGAACGAGCAACGCAGGGAATCCGGCCTCCCATCGTCTATGGAATTCAACGGAGAAGTTGCTGCCACTGTTCAGGATATATGCCACCTTTTTTCCCGAAAAGTTTGCCAGTCTGGCTGCCAGGAACGTTCCAGTAAACGATCAAACGCTGGGTGCAATTGATGTTAATGCAGAAATGATTTCTAAGGCCGCGACTCTGCTCAAGTCATCCTTCAATCCTGGACCTGATGGAGTTCCATCTGTATTTTTGAAGAGACATATTGCTAGCTTGTTAATTCCGCTTCTTCGCCTCTTTCGAATGTCTCCCTCAGGTGGCATTTTTCCATCTTGCTGGAAATTTGCGCACATGTTTCCCGTCCACAAAAAAAAAGAAGGAAACAAGCTGTGGATAACTATCGAGGAATTACATCGTTAAGTGCCGTTTCGAAGCTATTCGAGCTAGTGATTATGGAACCGTTGCTGTCCCATTGCCAGCAGTATTTGAGTGCAGATCAACATGGGTTTACTGTCGGCCGCTCTACCACCACCAATCTGCTGTGTCTCACATCGTATATAACCGAAAGCATGTCGGATCGGGTTCAAACGGACGTTATTTATTCAGACCTATCCGCAGCATTCGACAAGTTGAACCATGCTATTGCGAGTTTAGCAACTCGGCAGGCTCGGTGTATGCGGTAATGTTCTGAGTTGGTTTCGATCATATCTTACCGGTCGGCAACTAAAGGTTGCCATAGGAGATTGCAGCTAGCATCTTCGCCACATCAGGTATACCTCAGGGAAGCCACATGGGACGGTTAATTGTTATACTGTACTTCAACGACGTGCATCTGGTCATCGAAGCTCCTCGGTTATCATATGCAGATGACCTCAAAATATTCCTACGAATCTGCTCCATTGCTGACTGTCACTTTCTTCAACGTCAACTGAATGTATTCGCTAGTTGGTGCATGTTAAACAGAATGGTAGTGAACCCAGCCAAATGCTCCGCTATTACGTTCTCACGAAAACAACAACCGATAATATTTAGCTATGAGACTTGGGTGTGATCTTGGATTCGCAGCTTTCATTCAAGCAACACATTGCATATGTTGTTGATAAGGCGTCAAGAACTTTAGGGTTCATTTTTAGGATAGCTAAAAACTTCACTGCTATCTACTGTCTAAAATCTCTCTATTGTTCGCTTGTTCGATCGACGCTTGAGTATTGCTCAGCGGTTTGGAACCCAAACTACAACAACGGTGCCGAGAGAATTGAATCTGTTCAACGTCGCTTTCTTCGTTTTGCGTTGCGTAGATTGCCTTGGAATAATCCGTTTCGATTACCCAGTTACGAAAGCCGTTGTCAACTTATCGACCTAGAACTTCTCCGGACTAGAAGAGACACAAGCAGAGCCCTAACCGTGGCCGATATCCTGCAAGGAAGGACAGATTGCGAGGCTATCCTGAGGCAAATTGACCTGAATGTTCAACCCCGACCGCTTCGTAATAACCTTATGCTAAGACTGCCTCTACGTCGCACAAATTATGGAGTGTACGGTGCGATTTGCGGACTGCAGAGAACATTCAACAGAGTTGCATCTGTTTTCGACTTTCATCTCTCCCGTGATGCGCTTCGTCGGAAGTTTTCTTCTGTTTTTCGCCGGCAGGAGTAACTGACTATAAGATATATGTTTTTTATGTTATGACCATGCTTGATTTTTTTTTGTTTTACCATAGTTAGGGCTTCATCATCATCATTAGGGCTTCATCCAGCCTGTTGATCTAAAACAACAATAAATAAAAGAAGCATATTTTGCCTGTATAAGCTCTTATGCAGCTATCAATGTTTGAAACGTTTCGTTACCGGTTGCCAATGGTTAGCTGGCTCTATGTGGAACCTCAATTGGTCGTTTGACGGGTCCCAAAGTAAGCCAAGCGTTCGAATCACATTGTTGACTCCGTGTTGTTCGAATGACGCCTGCTTTTCACGAAGATCCTCTGGGATTGATGCTAGCAATTCTGGAGAACTCGAGCATCACTTATGTAGTTCAAAACCTCCCTTTCGTAGTAGCTCCACTAATTCTATCGGCTCCTGACAACACATCGTCGATGTAAAAATCGTTCTCCAGTATTTTGGCTGCCCTTGGAAATGCGTGTCCTTCGTCCTGTACTAACTGCTTCAATGTTCGAGTGGCCAAGTACCGTGCTGACGCCGTCCCGTACGTAACTGTAGTAAGCTCGAGAATCATCAACGGAGCGGAAGGGTTGGATCTCCCGAAAACACGCAGGAACTTGGTATGCTCAAGGCTCACTGCAATCATCCTGAACATTTTCGAAACATCTCCAGTAAAAACGACAGGGTGGATTCGAAACCGGACGCATATATCAACGATAGGATCTTGTATGTCCCACCATAAGCGTGTCGTTTAGGGATAGACCAGAAGTAGACTTCGCAGATGCATCAAATACAGTGCGTAACTTCGTGGTGGATGACGAAGGTTTCAGTATAGCATCTTTTCGTTCAGAACTCGGCAATGACCAAGCCGAATGTACTCTTCAACAAATTCACAATACGCCTTCTTGAGTTCCGCATCTCTGCTCAATTTCTTCTCGAGGTAGGTAAACCGTTGCAGAGCGTGATGCTTCGAGTCACCTAGTTGATTCACATTGCTCCGAAATGGTACCATCACAGTATATCGTCCGCTCGAGTCCCTCGTAGTAGTTTGCGTATAGTAGTCCTCACATGCCACCTTTTCCGGCTACATTTTCAGATTCCCAAAACTTTACTACCAGCTTGTCCAAGTTTGATTCTTGACCCGCCACATTGCAACGGACCATCTTGTAGTTCCAGGCTGTAGAATCAACGAATCCTCCGACCACCCATCCGAACACAGTGTCTTCTAAGAACGGTAAATTGTCGTCAAGCTTGACATTACCTGATTTCAGAAGACCGAAGAAGTGTCCAATGCCTATGACAGGGTGTCGGCTACCTGGAAAACCAGGGAATATCAGGGAATTTCTTTTTGGACCTGGAAAATCAGGAATTGTCAGGAAATTTCATTCAAAGTCAGGGAAATATTTCTAACAGAAACATATTAATAAGTATGGCTGACTTCGCTAGTTTCAAACAACTCAATTCCCAAGTAACCAACAAGCCCACAAATTCACCACTTTTTGCAATACAAGGCTGATACACGGCTAATTAGGGCATGCTATGCTTTATGTTAGTCGCATATAAGCCTTATATTGCAAAAAGGCTTGTTGGTTACTTGGTTTACTTGGATTGTAGTTTGAGGATGGTTTTCAATTTGCTCGATCCAGCTGTGTCCAGCAAAAATCAATCCCTTGAGCGCATTGGAGCGCTTTTGAGTAAATACAAGAATGATTAAGAGTTAAGCTGGGCTTAGATAAGGCAAGTCATTGATCAACTCAGTTGAATTCAATTGGCTTGAAAAGTTGAGCCTGGTTCAACTTTTTTTCAATTCAAGTCAGTTAAATGGCATAGTTTACACGCTAAAGTTAGTTGAATTCAACTGAGTTGATCAATTGACTTGCCTTATCTAAACCCAGCTTTAAGAGAAGATAATGATTTTTTCTGAAAGCTGCTAGTTCTTGTTCTTTATTGTGTTCTTAACAGCTTGATTAGCTGAGAACTAACTAAATGAGAATTTAGGATAATGGTCTTGCTTGGGAGGTTTTTTTTTATTGCTTCGAGTACCACTTTTATGATTGAATAATGATTCAAAGATACGTAGACAAGCATTGCTTTGACAGCATAGAGTGACTGTAGTAAGTATTCTATTGTTAACTCGTAAATTTAGCTGCACAGTAAAGTTTTAACATGGTAATGTTGCTGCTATTTGCAATTTAGATGGAATTAACT